GCTAGCTCCGTTTCACTCTGTATATGTTTATATGAAATGGAGATTACGTGATGTGAGATAGCTAGCTCCGTTTCACTCTGTATATGTTTATATGAAATGGAGATTACGTGATGTGAGATAGCTAGCTCCGTTTCACTCTGTATATGTTTATATGAAATGGAGATTACGTGATGTGAGATAGCTAGCTCCGTTTCACTCTGTATATGTTTATTATGAAATGCAGATTACGTGATGTGAGATAGCTAGCTCCGTTTCACTCTGTATATGTTTATATGAAATGCAGATTACGTGATGTGAGATAGCTAGCTCCGTTTCACTCTGTGTATGTTTGTTTTTTTATAGAACTCAGAATAGTCTTTACATTGCAGTCTTGTTTATGAACATTATACATGTATTAAAATGAATTATTTGTGTTGTGATTGTAGTTGCTGAAATTCGGCCATCTTTTTTTAACCACCAACTCATTGCTAACTGAAACACGCACAGAATAAAGCGTACGCTGATGTGAAATGTATTATGGTCCCGCTTTTTTTTCTGTGTTTGACGTTAAATACTAATATCTAATCCAGCGGATGTTAAGTTTTCATGGTACAATAATTCCATATAAATATAAAAATTTCCAGTGTTAATAATTAACATTTTGTCTCGAGAATTGTATAGAAACCTACAACGTATGTAAAGAGTAATTAGGACAACAAAGAACGTAGCTTGTCACGGTCAGTGATTGTAATATGGCAGCGATAGGTGTAACTGTGAGAACTGGTAGAGGAAATGTATGAGAACCATGCCTTTTTTATCAACCGGTACAGTGGCTGTAAAACGTATACCATTTATCAAGTTAGGTTTTAACAATATAAAACGTGTATGGTGTTGGTTAACTTGTATGTAAACAACACAAACATATGTCGTTTATCAACGTTTACTGTAACAATGCACATTTTTACCAACTACATGTACCTCATATGTCAACGTATGAAGTAACAGTTTAAAACGCATATACTGCTTACAAGGCTTTGCAATAACTACAATATGTTTATTTTTACTACCACTTCTATAATAAGATCTGCGTAGAAGTCGTACCTGTGCTGTGAATATAACACAATTACAACTGCAACAACAACATTTGATGATACATAATAATTATTTCCAAATGAGACTGTCTCCAGTCTCGAAATACAGTCATAATTATTTTGCATCATTAAACATTGATTTTTTCTTTAAACATATGTGTCAATGTATTTAGTTTTATTTGTTTGTGATTTTTAACTAAGTTATTTAAAACTTACTCAAGTGTCGTCTTAATCTTAACTAAATTAACTCTTTATCCCTCATATTTTCAAAGAAGCTGTGCAAGTAAACACAAATACACTGAGATAATTAATTCAAACTACTTTAAAACGATCGTCTGTATACAACACACGAGATTAAAAACACCTCATTCGATTTATTTTAATTGAGTTACTTGTGACAATTCACCCGGAATTTTTAAATCACGTGTTTTATTACCAGGTTCTACATGCAAAGAGCTCTGGGTGGTTCAGGGCAAGTCTGAGGGCTTATAAGGCTAAACATGAGCTTGCATTAGTTAGTTTATTATTATTATCTAGAACAGGTTAACGTTGTGATAATGTTCATTAAACATACGTCCATGTTATAAAAGTTTATGGTGTAAGTCCAGAGAAAGAATTCAGAAAGTTGACAATGCTTGCTTAGTACATAATAAAATTATGACATGTTCAACTTTTGTCTTAAAAAAAGATATTAATTAACACGTTGCTGAAAAGATAAATGCTGTTGGTCGTTACAAAACCGTTTTTGTCACATAACAAACGTTGTACAAAGAATATTTCAAAACGACCTTTCCAGGTTACTCACAAACGCTTTTCCACATTATAGTTTTGAACGATATTTCTCAGAATGATAAATGAACTTATCTTCTAGATTTTAACCTGGTCTAACTGAACAAACTCACTTCACAAATTCTGCTCAGGAAGGAAAAGGCAAATGACAAACATGGCGTCTCTGATTCGTTAATGAGTGTAGGTTTGGCGCGAATTTAGAGTTCAAAGAAACACCCTCAAGCGGGACAGGTTTTAACAACGAGAAACATTAAAATGGTTGCTCATAAGAAAATGCAACAATTGGTTTGCTTTGTTTTGAATTTCGTGCAAACCTACACGAGGGCTATCTGCACTAGCCGACCCTAATTTAGCAGTGAAAGACTAGAGGGAAGACAGCTAGTCATCACCGCCAACGAATAGTGGGGTTGACTGTCACATTATAACGCCTCCACGGCTGAAAGGGCGAGCATGTTTGGTTGGACGGGATTCGACTTTCAGATTGCGAGTCAAGCTCTCTAGCCACCTGGCCATGCCGGGTCACGAAAACGCAAGAAATAAAAAAAAGTCACCGCAGATGAAGAAATAAACAGTTTTACTTGAGTTAAGAGAAATTAGAGTAGAAAAAAGGAGTAAAAAACATTCGTTCTGTAAACACAATCTCGGAAATTTCAAAATAGATTACTGAAGTAATTAGGAGTCTTGTACTAATGGTATTTTATTAACTTCTCTACACTGACTGACAGATATAAAACTTGTAAAAATTTATAAAATGGTTTACCTGTCACACTTGATATTAAAGAAAGGTTTTGTTAGTTATGGCCAAAATTACAAACGATTTTAATATAATGCTTATGAAACTGTCTGTCAGCAAAATTTCCAAGTAAGAAATACGCGGTACATGGTTAGGCATAAATCTGGTACATTTTCCAGTTATATTCAAGCTTCAAGCATTATCAACAGCACGTGCCTCGCAGTAAAAATGGCAAACTTGAAGCACGGGTTTAGCTTTTTGATGGTTGTCAGAGGCCCTTGACGCCTAGGTTACCCAAACAACTAATGATTTAATCACAACCTGTAGGCTTTCTACCTCGCTACAAATCTAGAAGACGACGGTCATCTTAGCGTTGAGAAATATTAGCCTTGTTGCCATGTATCATTTGAAATCTTTTCTAGACGTTTAAGCTTTCTTTTTTTTTTTGGAGGGGGTGGTTAAAGTTGGATACAAAACCTTCAGGTGGTTGATTTTCTTAAGACAAAATCCCATGTGCACTGCTACTTATGTTGTTAGTTGGCCTAAAGCCCTTTCCTTGTAACGTTAAAATCCCATGTGCACCGCTACTTATGTTGTTAGTTGGCCTAAAACCCTTTCCTTGTAACGTTAAAATCCCATGTGCACTGCTACTTATGTTGTTAGTTGGCCTAAAACCCTTTCCTTGTAACGTTAAAATCCCATGTGCACTGCTACTTGGTGATAGTATTCTCATTGATGGATTCGTAACAATATATCAAGCACTTATCAAAAAATAAATACATTTAAGTTGCGTGGTGGATATGAATACTAATGTTACTGACCACACTGTTGCTAAATGTTTAAGAAAATCACAGACGTTTTAGGCCAAGATAGATTTTCTAGTTCAATACAACATTTCTCGTTGTGTAACTTGGAAAAATAGGTTTTTATAAAATTACTCCAAAGTTCTTGGCTAACGTACTGCGCAGTATACGAATTTACGCTGTGTAGAAATTACCTTTTTGAATAAATTACTGCAAAACTTCTGAAAATAGGCTTCTTATGGTAACTGAACAGAAATCTTCACCATGCAGTTCATTTCTTCAGCGACGTTTACTCTGTTAGTAAAACCCAAAGACAATAGAATGTAAGTTAGCTTTTAAATGATTTAAACAGGAAAAACACGTGCGATAGAGGGTGTTCAATATCAATATAGACGACATATCTTATAAATGCTTATATTAGATTTGTTATCTTTATTAACAATGTTTTGAATTTTTTTTTTGTACGTCTCGCTCGTTACCAGAACATTCTTTTGTTTTCACAATTTTGGGGTAAAGTAAATTTTAATGTGTTTATTCGTATGTAATAATGCTTTCAGTTTCTTCTTTTTTAAATGTTTACTAGTTTTACCAATATACGCAGAAAAAAGATGTTTCGGTTAAACTAATAGTTAGATCCGTTTGTGTACTCTGCATCATGGTAAGGTTTGTTATTGAACGTTTTTCTCACATGACTTCTATTTAGACTGAGAAAGTTTCGTGGAAGAGATGAAGCAGTTGTCTATAGGATTTATTTTAAGTTGCTGGAGAGAAGTTAACATATTTTAAGAACTATACTATTTAAACATGTTTAAATTACTGGAAACTTATGGTTAGCATACTACACAGTATAAGAAGTTAAACAACATAGAAAACGTTTTTTAAACAATATTACTGCACAGCCCACGGTTAATATACTACGCAGTGTAACAAGCTAAACGTTACAAAGACAGTCTTTTAAACAATATTCTTGCACAACCCTCGGTTAATATACTACATAGTGTAACAAGCTAAACGTTACAAAGACAATCTTTTAAACAATATTACTGCACAACCCACGGTTAATATACTACATAGTGTAACAAGCTAAACGTTACAAAGACAGAGTTTTCTAAACAATATTACTGCACAACCCACGGTTAATATACTACACAGTGTAACAAAGTACACAATGTAGAGATAGCTTTTAAAGATTCAGACAAGCTTTCAAATTTACCTGAAAGTTTATTTTGTTTTATCACATATAACCAGTTTTTACTTTGGTCGAAACAGGTTATATAGATGATGTAAAGTAGCCTTGGTGGTCAACAGCACTTGACTAGCACGTGAAGTGAGATCACTGTACCTATAAAGTCCGTAACAAGTACACACGAACACAGATAACGAAAAAAACGACAAAAATCATGTAGTTTTCTAAACATTAATACTTTTCTCTCTTCATTAGGTTCTATGGCATTTGGATATATTTCGTCGAAGTTTCCGAGAGCTTAATGGACATTTATGCATGGCCGAGTCCTGTATCTTTTGTGCCCTCAAGGTAAGTTCTAAATATTTAACATCAAATTTGCCATAGGAGTACTCGAGGGTCATATGTCAGGTCAAACATCTATTTATACAAATGTTCGCTACTTCTTCAATTACATTCTTAAATGTAGGCTAAGTGTGGTGAAACAAAGCAATAAATGTCGAAGAAAATAGTGTTTATGTAGTGAATCTAGCATGGCCTTTCACTTCAAAAAAAAAGGGAGATTGAATGCTTAACAAAGATTTTTTTTACTACAAAGTTACTAGTTGAATTTTGTACTTGATTTTTTAA